TTAATTTCGTTATTAAACTGTTTATTATTAATTTATTTAACTGTTTATTGTTAATTTATTTCGTTATTAAACTGTTTTCGTTATTAAACTGTTTCATAATATTTTATCATGTTGTTATAATTTCTTTTTTTTTAATATGAAGTGATGCCTAAAAAGTATTAAAAAAAATATAGAAAGAATAAAATAAAATTGAAAAAATAAAAATAAAGCACTGATAAACAGTACTATGGACAATATTAAGAATAGCAATAAATAAATAAATAAATAAAAAACAATAATAATTAAGCTATTACTACTACTAAAACACTTAAAGAACAAATTACTATTTTCAGTATTTCGAGTGTAATATTTATGTGCATCACTTGTTTTTATTTTTTTATTTTTTTATTTTTATTCACCTCCTCAAGGCCGAGAAGGCCACTACAGACGAGGAGGCTACTTAATAGTGGTTATAACCCTCTCTCAACTCTATAATTCCGAAACACGAACATTGACAAACAAGGCCGCTGCGCGGAGAAACAAGTTGAGCGCAGTACTACCAGGGACGTGGTAGGGATAGAACTCGGAACCTCTCGCTTATGAAGCGAGTGTTTTACCACTACACCACTACCGCTTTTAACAACAACAACAACAAAAAAATTAGTAAACAAATTTGGTAGATTATTTCAGAGAAAATCAAACACAAAAGACTATTAAAAAATTAATAAACTTTTAATTTCTCATCTTTAATCTAATAACTTTCTTTCTGATCATCAATATGGATTTATATCTTTTTGTTTACTGCTGATTTCTTAATGGTAATAACTGATAGGTTTTATTGTGCATTAGACAGATGTGATGAGGCTAAGGCTATTGCTCTCAACATTTCTATAGATAAAACCTTTGATAAAGTTTGGCATGCTTGTCTTCTCCATAAGCTCTCTTTTTACAGTGTATCTGGTAACATCTTTTGGATTATTGAATCCTTCCTTACTAATCGTAGTATAAAAGTTGTGCTTGATGTACAGCACTCCTCATATCCTGTCACTTCAGGGCTTCAAGATTCTATCCCTGGCCCTATACTTTTTTCAATTTACATTAACGATCTCCTAGAAAGTTTCATATCTAAGGTGGCATTGTTCACTATACTATGATCTACCATTTGTTCTTGTCTGGATAATAAGCCAACACTCTCTGATTGATTAGAGGGGGCATTTGAGCTTGAAAAGCATCTTACTTCTGCTATAAGGCTCTCAGTAACTAGTGAATTTTAACTCAGATAAAACTCAATTTTTATCATTATTGCAATAATCTTGATTTTCCTATATTTATGAATGGTAATGTACTTGATGAGTCATTTACACTTAATCTTCTAAGATTAACTCTTACTTCCAATCTTTCTTGGAAACCATATATCAAATAGATTGCAAAATTAGCTTCTGCTAAGGTTGCATCTCTTTATCGTGCTTGCCACATTCTTACTCCGGATTCTATTCTTTATCTCTATAAATCACAAACCCATCTTTGTATGGAATACTGTTGCCATATCTGGGGCGGATCTTCCAATGGTGCTCTTTCTCTTCTAGACAAGGTGCAAAAATGCATTGTAAACATAGTTGGACCTGCTCTTGCAATAAATCTCTAACCATTATCACATTGTCGTAATGTTTCTCTAATGCTTCTATAGTAAAGTTTCTCTCTAATGTTTCTCTTTCTCTTTTCTATAAATACTATAATAGGCACTTATTAAAGAGCTGGCGTCTCTTGTCCTATTTACTAAAATTCTTTCTTGTATTACTCCTCATTCAATTAGGTCTCATCCTTTTACTGTGCTGTTCCTAAGTTTCTATTATGTAATAAGTATTAGATTCATATTCTTTATTTGTTTTCTATAAGTTAGATACATATGAAGTTCATTTTCTATAAAGTGATAAAATTAAATAAATTTGACAAATTTTTGTTTCTGTTTTTAAAAAGCAGGCTTGTGGAGCAGACTGTTTTTTTACGGCTCGGTTCCGGCTCCGGCTTATAAGAAATATCCTGCTCGGCTCCAGCTCCCAAATTTTATGAACAAAAATTGCAAGTTTTAGAATTTTTTTTTTTGATCACATTCGCTAACCCAAAACTATACCAATTACAGCAAATAATTTTTTACCAACTCTCATGATTACAAGGTTATTGTATTACTCTCACTACTCTACTAGTTGGGTAATAAACAAATTTTTCTATTTATTATTTACCCAAAACTAGAGTTTTTAGTTCAAATTTTAGTTCTAATTCTACCCAGGCGGCACGGAACCTAAAAATGTTTATCTTATCTTTAAGAAAATTAAATTTTTTTTCTATCAGTCAGATTTTTTTTAACTATAATTGTCAATGCCATTTTTTATTGTCATTATTAGGTACATTTTATGAATCCTAGAATAAACTACATTGACTTGCTTCGAGAGATATAAAATTAAAGTTTTTGGACTTAGCAGGTTTTGAGCTCTTTTGGTAGCACTTTTGTAGTTTCAGAATTGCAGCATTACTTAAAAGCACCATAAAAATCCCAGTGCAGGGGAGCATACTTCCACCAAAGTATGCTTACCTGCACTGGGATTTAAATTGATGAAGAGCCAGGCAATACATGACAGGAGAGCCTTGTGGTCGCTGTTGGCAACAACACCAATGTCAAAATTCTTGGGATACCTGCTTATCAACCAGAAACAGATCAAGTATCTGGAGATATTATCACTAATGCTACAATGCAGTTGTTGTAATCATGCTAATCAAATATAAAAAAAAAACACTTGATCCTCTAGGTTGATGACGCTGATTGGCTTTCTAAAAAATAAAAAGTTTGAAAGAAAAAAAAAATGTAACTTTATCAATTGATGAAGTTTGAAAGTATCTTAATGTCTATAAGTAAGATTTTCAAAAGAAATTCTTATTTCCAATATACAATTAAAATGCAAAATATAATGCATGTGTTTCACAAGCTTAATAAAAAGGAAAAAAAAACATTGTTAAAAGGTTAGTATCAAAAAAGAAATACTTTTATGTTAAAGCATTCAAAAATATTTTTGTTTTAGAATGTTTAAAATTATCTTTAATAGAATTATTAAAAAAGTCGTTAAAATAAATTTAAATAAATTCAAATGATTAAAATGCACATTAAAAAATACACCTATAAGCAGAAAGTGTTGCCAAAATTTAAAAAAAGTCATTAATATATTTAAAAAGCGTCTGTCAATCAAAAATAGCAAGTCATCAACAAAATAGTGTTAACATTACAATATTTTTCAATTGAGATAAGTTGATAATGGTATTTTGACTAACTATGAATACTAATTGTAATAAGATTCATAATTTGCAATACAATCCTGTATCATGATTTAAATTAGAATTATAATAATATATTTTATCTTTTATCCTAATTCTAAAAATTATAAAAATTTTAATCTAGTTTATTTCTTTAAAAAAAAAAAAATGAATGAAAAAGTTAAGTTAACAACACCATAACACATATTACAAAACACCATAACACATATAACAAAAATTAAACATACATCATTACTAAAGTTCCAAAAATACTTTAGTAATGTTGTATGAATGTCCATTGAACATCGAGTATCAAAATTATATGATGATAGTAATTGTAATAAAAATATTGAAAAATGGTTGGAGATTGAAAGGTGGTTTTGATATTTTATTTTTTAAAGCATTTTAGCTATTTTTTGGAATGATTGAAGTTTTAATTGCCTACAGCCAATTAGTAAAAGTAAATATCATTAGTTTTTGTGTACATTTTTTCAATAGAATTTTTATGAGAAGATTAGTGTTGTCAGCAAAATGGGAGGGGGAAAGATAGAAGTGTTATTTTTTTAAAGGGTTCTAAATTAAGCATCGGTTATTTTTGTTTTGTTTTTTTGTAATGCAATTGGTAATATTTTTTGTTTTATTACTTCCTTACTAAGTACTCTTGTTGTTGAGTAAGTTATTTTTGAAGGTTGTATAGTAATTTTTGCTAATTTCTTAAAAATACTTAATTTGTTTCTTTGTTTTACATTTCTTTAAAATTTGTTTCTTTGTTTTACATTTCTTTAAAATTTGTTTCTTTGTTTTACATTTCTTTAAAATTTGTTTATTTGTTTTACATTTCTTTAAAATTTGTTTATTTGTTTTACATTTCTTTAAAATTTGTTTCTTTGTTTTACATTTCTTTAAAATTTGTTTCTTTGTTTTACATTGTATGCAATTAAAGTTTAAATAGTTCAAGTTTAACTTTTTGAAAATATAAAAAGAACTTGTTATTTTGTGTCATTTTTGTATCATTATTTTTAATAAAATAGGTTTTTAATTTAATAAGTATGTTTTGATGAAACAAATGAAAAAATCGAGTAATAATTCTACCTAAATTGTGATATTTGAGTATTGTGTAATATGAAATATAGTAAAATTACAACCAAAATTATTTATAAAAAAGGAATTCTAATTATACCCAAAAATCAGGTGCTGAAAAATAAAACAACTTGTTTAAAATTCTCATTGTTTATACACATTTTGTGTGTCATTTGTGTTTTATATATATATATATATATATATATATATATATATATATATATATATATATATATATATATATATATATATATATATATATATATATATATATATATATATATATATATTAAAAAATAAGAAACATTAAAAAAGATGATATAAAAAATCATAAAAATAACCCTTTAAAGAGTATAAAATCCATTGTTGCATAATTGTTTTTTTCTCCAGTAATAAAAAAAAAAACAATAATTATTTTTTTCTGCAGTAATAAAACTCTTTTTAATGTCATTTTTCATATTTAAAACAATCATATCCTTTTATTTTTATTTTTTGTGCCCAACAAAATATTTTTGTCAAGAATAACAAGTTTTAAAAAGTTTAAACGAAAAACTTTTTAATATTAATGTTATTAAATTTAACTGGTGGTTAAAAAAATTATGCAATGTAATATTCAATAGTCGCTATAAATTTTCCAGGGAACACTTTCAGATCCTGGCATTAACCAACAAGCTTTGTCTTTATTGTTTAAAGAGTGCAAAGAGAAAATTGATTGGAAGTATTCTATTTGTGTTAGTTATATGGAAATTTACAATGAAATGATAAGAGATTTGCTATGTTCTTGTCCTACTGAAAAATTAGAGGTCAAGCAGAGTAAGGAAGGCACATATGTACCAGGATTAACAAGCATAGAAGTAGAAAATGTTTACAATGTCAATGAGGTAAATTATTTTTCAAACTATCATTTTTGAACAGAAACACCTTACTAGAAGAACAGAACAATCTAATGTTTTAATGTAAAAGTTTATTAAAAAATTTTGATCAAGTTGTCTTTTTTTATACTATTCATAATGCTTTTTTCGACGATAACATTTTTTTATATATATGAAATATAAAAAAAGTAAGCGATATTGTAGGAATTTAAAAATAATAACTGGACTATTGTAGTATTTATGTACAGGACTACTGTACTATTTATGTACTGGACTGCTGTAGTATTTATGTACTGGACTACTGTAGTATTTATGTACAGGACTACTGTAGTATTTATGTACAGGACTACTGTACATAAATACTTAATAAATGTGCTTTTTATGTACTGGACTACTGTAGTATTTATGTACTGGACTACTGTAGTATTTATGTTCAGGACTACTGTAGTATTTATGTACTGGACTACTGTAGTATTTATGTACAGGACTACTGTAGTATTATGTACAGGACTACTGTAGTATTTATGTACAGGACTACTGTAGTATTTAAGTACAGGACTACTGTAGTATTTATGTACTGGAGTACTGCAGTATTTATGTTCAGGACTACTGTAGTATTTACGTACAAGACTGCTGTAGTATTTATGTACAGGACTACTGTAGTATTTATGTACAGGACTACTGTTGTATATATGTACAGGACTACTGTAGAATGTATGTACAGGACTACTGTAGTATTTATGTACAGGACTACTGTAGTGTTTATGTACTGGACTACTGTAGTATTTATGTACAGGACTACTGTAGTATTTATGTACAGGACTACTGTAGTATTTATGTACTGGACTACTGTAGTATTTATGTACAGGACTACTGTAGTATTTATGTATTGGACTACTGTAGTATTTATGTACTGGACTACTGTAGTATTTATGTACTGGACTACTGTAGTATTTATGTACAGGACTACTGTAGTATTTATGTACAGGACTACTGTAGCATTTATGTAATGGACTACTGTAGTATTTATGTACAGGACTACTGTAGTATTTATGTACAGGACTACTGTAGTATTTATGTACTGGAGTACTGTAGTGTTTATGTTCAGGACTACTGTAGTATTTATGTACTGGACTACTGTAGTATTTATGTACAGGACTACTGTAGTTTTTATGTACTGGACTACTGTAGTATTTACGTACAGGACAACTGTAGTATTTATGTACAGGACTACTGCTGTATATATGTACAGGACTACTGTAGAATGTATGTACAGGACTACTGTAGTATTTATGTACAGGACTACTGTAGTATTTATGTACAGGACTACTGTAGTATTTATGTACAGGACTACTGTAGTATCTATGTACAGAACTACTGTAGTATTTATATACAGGACTACTGTACTGACTTATGTACTGGACTACTGTAGTATTTATGTACTGGACTACTGTAGTAATTATGTACAGGACTACTGTACTTTTTATGTACTGGACTACTGTAGTATTTATGTACAGGACTACTGTAGTATTATGTACAGGACTACTGTAGTATTTATGTACAGGACTACTGTAGTATTTAAGTACAGGACTACTGTAGTATTTATGTACTGGAGTACTGCAGTATTTATGTTCAGGACTACTGTAGTATTTATGTACTGGACTACTGTAGTATTTATGTACAGGACTACTGTAGTATTTATGTACAGGACTACTGTAGTATTTATGTACAGGACTACTGTAGTATTTATGTACTGGAGTACTGTAGTATTTATGTTCAGGACTACTGTAGTATTTATGTACTGGACTACTGTAGTATTTATGTACTAGACTACTGTAGTAATTATGTACAGGACTACTGTACTTTTTATGTACTGGACTACTGTAGTATTTATGTACAGGACTACTGTAGTATTTATGTACAGGACTACTGTAGTATTTATGTACTGGAGTACTGTAGTATTTATGTTCAGGACTACTGTAGTATTTATGTACTGGACTACTTTAGTATTTATGTACTGGACTACTGTAGTATTTATGTACAGGACTACTGTAGTATTTATGTACTGGACTACTGTAGTATTTATGTACAGGACTACTGTAGTATTTAGGTACTGGACTTCTGTAGTATTTATGTATAGGACTACTGTAGTATTTACGTACAAGACTGCTGTAGTATTTATGTACAGGACTACTGTAGTATTTATGTACAGGACTACTGTAGTATTTATGTGCAGGACTACTGTAGTATTTATGTACAGGACTACTGTAGTATTTATTTACAGGACTACTGTAGTATTTATGTACTGGAGTACTGTAGTGTTTATGTTCAGGACTACTGTAGTATTTATGTACTGGACTACTGTAGTATTTATGTACAGGACTACTGTAGTTTTTATGTACTGGACTACTGTAGTATTTACATACAGGACAACTGTAGTATTTATGTACAGGACTACTGTTGTATATATGTACAGGACTACTGTAGAATGTATGTACAGGACTACTGTAGTATTTATGTACAGGACTACTGTAGTATTTATGTACTTGACTACTGTAGTATTTATGTACAGGACTACTGTAGTATTTATGTACAGGACTACTGTAGTATTTATATACTGGAATACTGTAGTATTTATGTACAGGACTACTGTAGTATTTATGTACTGGACTACTGTAGTATTTATGTACTGGACTACTGTAGTATTTATGTACAGGACTACTGTAGTATTTATGTACAGGACTACTGTAGCATTTATGTACAGGACTACTGTAGTATTTATGTACAGGACTACTGCAGTATTTATGTGCAGGACTACTGTAGTATTTATGTACAGGACTACTGTAGTATTTATGTACAGGACTACTGTAGTATTTATGTACAGGACTACTGTAGTATTTATGTACAGGACTACTGTAGTATCTATGTACAGGACTACTGTAGTATTTATGTACAGGACTACTGCAGTATTTATGTGCAGGACTACTGTAGTATTTATGTACAGGACTACTGTAGTATTTATGTACAGGACTACTGTAGTATTTATGTACAGGACTACTGTAGTATTTATGTACAGGACTACTGTAGTATCTATGTACAGGACTACTGTAGTTTTTATGTACTGGACTACTGTAGTATATATGTACAGGACTACTTTAGTATTTATGTACTGGACTACTGTAGTATTTATGTACAGGACTACTGTAGTATTTATGTACTGGACTACTGTAGTATATATGTACAGGACTACTGTTGTATTTATGTACAGGACTACTATAGTATTTAAGTACTGGACTACTGTAGTATTTAGGTACTGGACTACTGTAGTATTAATGTACAGGACTACTGCAGTATTTACGTAAAGGACTGCTGTAGTATTTATGTACAGGACTACTGTGGTATTTATGTACAGGACTACTGTAGTATTTATGTACAGGACTACTGTAGTATTTATGTGCAGGACTACTGAAGTATTTATGTACTGGAGTACTGGAGTATTTATGTTCAGGACTACTGTAGTATTTATGTACTGGACTACTTTAGTTTTTATGTACTGGACTACTGTAGTATTTATGTACAGGACTACTGTAGTATATATGTACTGGACTACTGTAGTATTTATGTACAGGACTACTGTAATATTTAGGTACTGGACTTCTGTAGTATTTATGTACAGGACTACTGTAGTATTTATGTACAGGACTACTGTAGTATTTATGTACTGGACTACTGTAGTATTTATGTACAGGACTACTGTAGTATTTATGTATTGGACTACTGTAGTATTTATGTACTGGACTACTGTAGTATTTATGTACTGGACTACTGTAGTATTTATGTGCAGGACTACTGAAGTATTTATGTACTGGAGTACTGGAGTATTTACGTACAAGACTGCTGTAGTATTTATGTACAGGACTACTGTAGTATTTATGTACAGGACTACTGTTGTATATATGTACAGGACTACTGTAGAATGTATGTACAGGACTACTGTAGTATTTATGTACAGGACTACTGTAGTGTTTATGTACTGGACTACTGTAGTATTTATGTACAGGACTACTGTAGTATTTATGTACAGGACTACTGTAGTATTTATGTACTGGACTACTGTAGTATTTATGTACAGGACTACTGTAGTATTTATGTATTGGACTACTGTAGTATTTATGTACTGGACTACTGTAGTATTTATGTACTGGACTACTGTAGTATTTATGTACAGGACTACTGTAGTATTTATGTACAGGACTACTGTAGCATTTATGTAATGGACTACTGTAGTATTTATGTACAGGACTACTGTAGTATTTATGTACAGGACTACTGTAGTATTTATGTACTGGAGTACTGTAGTGTTTATGTTCAGGACTACTGTAGTATTTATGTACTGGACTACTGTAGTATTTATGTACAGGACTACTGTAGTTTTTATGTACTGGACTACTGTAGTATTTACGTACAGGACAACTGTAGTATTTATGTACAGGACTACTGCTGTATATATGTACAGGACTACTGTAGAATGTATGTACAGGACTACTGTAGTATTTATGTACAGGACTACTGTAGTATTTATGTACAGGACTACTGTAGTATTTATGTACAGGACTACTGTAGTATCTATGTACAGAACTACTGTAGTATTTATATACAGGACTACTGTAGTATTTATGCACTGACTACTTTAGTATTTATGTACTGGACTACTGTAGTATTTATGTACAGGACTACTGTAGTTTTTATGTACTGGACTACTGTAGTATATATGTACAGGACTACTGTTGTATTTATGTACAGGACTACTGTAGTATTTATGTACAGGACTACTGTAGTATTTATGTACAGGACTACTGTAGTATTTATGTACAGGACTACTGTAGTATCTATGTACAGAACTACTGTAGTATTTATATACAGGACTACTGTACTGACTTATGTACTGGACTACTGTAGTATTTATGTACTGGACTACTGTAGTAATTATGTACAGGACTACTGTACTT